CACGGTGTGGTGTTAACTGGTGATGCCAGTCAAATCGAAGGTATGGTGACGTTGACTCGTCGTATGTTGGGTGTGTCTGCGCATTTGGGTAATCCACCTGTGCAAGTGACAGCAGATGAGCAAAATATTGCCGCACTGCGTCGCTCTCAGTATGCCACTGCCGCAGGTTTGTTGATGTTTAGTCAGAGCGAAACACAAGAAACCATAGTGGAACCAGAAGATACAGAAAAACTATCGCTATTCAAACGCGTTGGGCGTGCTTGGTCTGGACTCAATGACAAGCTGAAATCTGTTTTTTAAGTTGAATTTTTTTGGAATATTGTTAAGAAGTTGTACAACGCATCGCTTAAACTTGACAAGCTATGGCTTGCACAGCATGCTTAAAAGCAATTTTGTTTATTAAGATCAAGGCAGTATACGGGCTTAAGTGACTGCCAATAACGAATTAGGAAATCTATAGGTCATGGCCTCATTTGAATTTTTAGAAGATGATCAAACCGATAGCAACGGTCAAGCCCGTTTTACTGTGTTTGGTGTTGGTGGTGCAGGTGGTAACGCCGTACAACACATGCTTGAGTCAGATATTCAAGGTGTAAAATTTGTATGTGCCAATACGGACAAGCAAGCGCTAGACCGTATGAATGCACAATTCAAAATCCAGTTGGGTGAGCAAAGTACCCGTGGCTTGGGTGCGGGCGCCAACCCAAATGTAGGTCAAGCAGCGGCTGAAGAAAGTCGTGACTTGATTCGTCAACACCTTGAAGGCACTGACATGGTGTTTGTGACTGCGGGTATGGGCGGTGGTACAGGTACAGGTGCAGCACCAGTGGTTGCTGAAATTGCCAAAGAAATGGGTATCTTAACCGTAGGCGTGGTAACGACACCATTTAACTTTGAAGGTAAGCGTCGCCTTCAATCTGCTGAGCAAGGGATTGAAGCATTAGAAGCGCATGTAGATTCTTTAATCATCATTCCAAACCAACGCTTGTTGAAAGTTTTCCGTGACATCTCAATGAAAGATGCCTACAAAAAAGCCGATGATGTTCTTCTTAATGCGGTACGTAGTATCTTTGATTTGGTGGTACGCCCAGGTCATATTAACCTTGACTTTGCTGACTTGAAAACTGCGATGAGCACACGTGGTTATGCCATGATGGGTGCGGGTTTAGGTCGTGGTGAAAACCGTGCACGTCAAGCAGCTGAACAAGCGATCCGTAGCCCATTGCTAGATAATGTCACCATTATGAATGCCAAAGGGATTCTGATTAATGTGACGGGTGGTGATGACGTTACCTTTGGCGAAATTGAAGAAATTACCGACGTTGTGAACCAAATTGTCGATCTAGATGAAGGCCAAGTCTTCTACGGCACAGTATTTGATCCAGATGCGCGTGATGAAATCAGTGTGACTGTGATTGCAACAGGTTTGACTCGAAATTCAGCAGATTCTGCTGAGCCAGTGAAGCGTCCAAATGCACATGTGCAGGTAGCACAACATGGGCATGCAACGCAAGCGGTTGTTGAAGATGATGATGTGCCTGCAATCCAGCGTCAGAACCAAGACGTGGCTGCTGCAGCGAATTCTGCATCGACAGTGAGTGCTGCACGTCCAACACCAATGAGTATTCAAGATTACTTGAAAAATCAACAACGTAAGTA